TTTGAGAAATCAGTGAAAATGTTGAAAAATATCCTATGTCACAATACTAAAGAAAGTGAAAAAAATTCCTGGATCTGCCCCCTCCCCTGCCCCTGGATCTAATTCACACATCAACATTTAATGAGTTGTTAACTTGTTATCAGGCCAATGGTGCATCCTTTCAGACTCAGAGCCCAACAGAAAGAAGCTGCTAGTGTTCGGCAAAAGTTACAGTGTTGCTTTAAGTTGAGGCCGAAGTTGTGACAATATAAATGCAGTGTTCAGGAGACGAGGCTGCATGGTTAGAGGCAAGAGTCTTATGAAAAGGAAAAACTCCTTGAGATAGAAGCTCAAACTTTCATTAGTTTACATGCACCTTAATAAATCTGTGCAATTTTAGTTTCATATATGTGAAATAATGTTGCACTGCAAATATTCTGTTTACATTCTATATATAATTTAATATTTTTATATTCCCTTGTGTCTTGATTATATCTTTACTTATTAATCACTTTTACTGATGCTTCTTTTTTTAATGACCATTTTGCTGCAGTAATACATTAAATGTCTCCGTAGTGGGACGAATAAATATCTTCTAACAAGGGTCCTGTGTCAAAATCAAATGTATCCTCCATTATTAATGTGCGTTAAATCAAATTACCACACAGCAAACCAAGGCGCAGAAACAAATGATGTACCTTTTGCACAAAAAGAGGCATAGACAGGGGGTAAACATGGGGGCCCAGCAGAATGAGAACCTCACTTGCGGGTCCAAACGTTGACCCGGGCTCAGTTACTGTAAGCCCAGCCGCACAAACAGGATATATTTAGCACACTATTTTAGTGCGATGGCCTGGTGAGTGCAGGTCTTGAGGGGATACAGTTACTTGTGGAGTCCACATTAAAACAGCGGGCGGTCAATCATGTCGGGCCATTCGTCAGAATGAATTAAGAAGGCGACTTAAGTGGTTGATGAGAAAAGCACACCGCTAAATACGCTGCTTCTCTTCGATAACATCGTCCACTGTAACTAGTGCAGTCCGAAACTATGTCTCCATAGCAGCAGCAGCAAAAATAAATAAATGCATATAATAAACACTAAGGCCACATGTGTAATATACTGTGTTGAGCTCTGAGAAGTCATAAAATAGCCTGTAAAAGCCAAGTGTGTTTCTTTACGCAGCGAGACGTCTTCTTCAGCAACTGACAGAGACTCATCCAGACACGTTCATTCATTCATCTTCACGAGTCCGGATGAAAGAGCTGGTTTTACACCTGATGCTCAGTTTACTCAGCCTCAGAAAACAGTTATAACCTCATCTGTGGAAGGGATCCACGTATTTGACGAAAACAGAAAATATGCGTTACAACCTGGGTCTATTTCCAGACACATCATCAAGTTGCACCATGGGGGAAGTGCAGCATGGGAAGTCTCCCAACTTGATGGAAGTGTGATATTAAATCACCGGAGGACACATTTAAAACCAGTGTCAATGCCGATGTGAGGGTGTGAAGATTAAGGTGAAGCTTTCCTTCATCGCTGGTATCACTGGTTCATGTCCACTGATTCTAGCTGTCACCATCAACACCCTAATGGAAATGATACAAATGAATGTAATTATAAATAAATACCAAACACGAAACTGACATGAGTTTTGGTCAAGTTATTACCAGGTAAAATACTGATAATACTACAGGTAAAAAAATAACCTGCTAATCTAAGATGGTGAACTTGGCTAATATCCGACCTGCATCCGCAATGTCAGCATGCTGATGTTTGCATTTAGCTCAGACAATTTTGTGGCAAAGTAATTCCTGACAATTCTAGACCCTTTCTTTAAAAACGCAACATGACTTTGGAATAACGTTTTTTTCTTCTGACATCCATTGGTGAACTTGCATGTTGCAGCTGAATGCACCTCAATCTCCCCTAGCAAATATGAAAGAGAACCTGTGGCAGTCTTCAGTTGTCACTAAAACTCAAAGTTTGTCCAGTCTGGGCTACTGTAAGAGAGGATCCACTCCTGATATAAGTATAAAGCATTTCAATATAAAGGGTAAAGATACAACATTTTTTACAATTTAGATGAAACACCAGTTACATTACTAGGATTGTTTTATATTTGATACAGAATTCCATCACACAGCTTTTTAAGACTCTGCGGTCTGGCTTGAAAGGTCATATTCCTCACACTCTCTAGTGCAGGGTTCTTGAGTGCAGCCAAGCATCTGATAGAGAAAATCATCTGTAATTTCAGAAAGGACCTGATAGTGGTCTCACGTGGCCCTGAGAACTGAGAACCACACTAATGTGCTTCCCATCTGTCACTGGCCTTTAATCGGCAAAAAGAGAGGGGGCAGATGATAACAGGTTACATCCTCAGACTCAGGTCTGTTAGAATTGGCTATTTGTCAGCTTCGTCGTCATAGCAACACGGCCTAAACTCATTGTCACTTTATTGGGATATGCCGATGGAGGAGTGGGTAAAGTTTTTGAGTCCACAAAACACTTTTGGAGTTTCAGGGGTGAACTGTGTTGAAGTAAATGGTGACCACTTCCTCAAACGGGGGGGGGGGGGACATAAAATGCCTCCACACTGCTCCTGTAGTGTCATCAAAGTGTCCGTAAGCCAGTTTTGCCAGATGTACGATCATTATCATATTTGTATGATCATTTTCTCCTCTGTATGATCAATAATGCATGATGTGCGACCATTTGATTATTTATTTACTATCAGTTGTAAATAGTACAACGGGACAGTAAAGTACAGATCACATCAGTGTGCATCTCTTCTCACAAGACTTCTCTCCAGCATGAATTGCGAGATTAATTAAATCCGTGTTTCAAAATAGGAGCCTTTTGCCTTGAGAAGGATCATTTCTCTACACTAAATCACTTAGGAATCAACATTTCCCATCTGGCAACACTGCCATAAGCACGACATTCAGATATTTAGGCTAATAAAATGAAGATTTGAATTTCGGGGCTTACATTCACTTGGATGACACCACAGCAGAACGACTCTTTCATCTTATTTTATATTTTTTTATTTCAACTGAAGCGTCATCCTCACTCTCACCCTCAGCAGTTATGCAACAACCCTCCTCTCTGCCCTGGCCTCCACCTCCGCCTGCCCTTTGACCCTGGTCACTTTCCCTGACCGTCACACCGAGGCGTACTGTGACACTGAAACGCTGATGTAAATACATGTGCTGAGTTTCCGACTGTTTTAAGTTACAGTATGTTTTCTGCTGCAAGCATCTGACCTTTTTATGGCTGAATTATTCATCCGCATTAAATCTGCTTCAGTGGAGACTGTATCAAATAAAACATCTGAGGACACACTTTAATTAACCCTGATCTCTGCAGAATGAGTTAGTTCTTTCCACCACTAGAGGACACTGTATACTGTTTTACTGAGAGTAACATGCTGTGAAGAGTGAACACAGATATGTTTCTATCCATAGAAACACCCAATGAACCAATAAATAAATATGTTCACTCGATGACATGATAGAACACTTATGTGCACTAATTTGTGTGATTACAAACGTTACAAACATATTTAAGGTAATCCATTTATCTATCTATCTATACATTACGTTGATTTTTTAAATCTATCTATTCCACACCAAGGACAACACACATCTGGAGATGTTAACATAATCACATCTGTGTCAGTTGATAGTTGATTCATGTCTGTTTCAACTCAATAATAGAACCTGTCTGGTCGTAACACACTAACACACTGTATCCATCACATAACTTCTTTATAAAACACTTACATTTATATTATATAATAATTATCATTACATATTGTTGCTGCTCCTGCCTTTGTTGTTGATACTAAAATGTTGAATTATACCAATTTAAAAGCTGAATAACACTTTGCAGCTGTTTAAGACTGCAGAGACACCCCAAAAGAACCAATAGAAATATCTATAAAAAGTTATATATAGTCACTGGAGTTTTCTATTTATATTTACTATGTGACTAAAGGTCTACTTATATTATGTCATCAACAAATTCCATTAAAGTAGATGGAATATGTCCCACTATCAAGAACTGTGTGTGTGTGTGTGTGTTTTCGTAAATAGGATACAACTTATTCTTCTGTGCCATAGAGCTGAACTGTTAAAACATCATCAATGAGCCAAACTGTTGCACTCGTTCCTCCTTAACCATCAACACACACACTGTATTTGACTTACCCCCCCCCCCCCTACACATCTTCCTGCTGCAAGAAATACTCTCAAAGACACTAAACGTGGATTAATTCACAGGGAGCAGCTGCTTTGGGAATTTTCAAAAAATGAAGCATGTTATTTCTGGGGACGTTCCACAGCTACAGTGTTCTCATGGGATTGGTGAACTAGAGATCATGTACATTCTTTCATCCTCTGAAGAACAGCTTCCACAATCCACATCCTATTATGATGGTCTCTAAATTAATACATATAACTAATCAACCCTCAAGCAAGTTTGCATAATAGTAACATATAATGTAGATGAAAGTTTTAGTTTTACTTGTGCAATGGAACAGTGACTAGCACCGATCATCGTCACTACACCCTACAGTCATGTGGGCTCCAACCTAAAACTATTCTGAACACAGACATAAAAATGGCAGGAACCAAATCAGAACTTTTAACTCTACGTGACTAAGATAACAACTACCGCTCCAATATATTCAAAGGGTTTAATGAGCCATATCTGTGATTCACTGTAGTTACGTGCACATTTGGATCACTGGTATGTTATCAGTAATATTTTCATGGGTTAGCAGACTTTTGCATTCCCTTTGTTATGTTTCAAGTTTCAGATGGGCTCTAAGGTGAATTTTGCATGTTTTTATACGTTGATGGGGGTGTTGGGATTTGACTGGGAGGAACATAGGGGTATCAAATGCTCCTGCTGCTAACACCAACATGGTAGACATGTAATTTGTGTGGGTGGGTGTGTGGGTGTGTGTCTTTCTCCTGCTGCTCTCTCCTCCCTCTAAACTGTGTGTTCTTGCCAGACACACAGCTCATAGTTTTCTCAGAGGACGCTGGAACTACACATGTTCACTTCCTAGTTGCTGTAAAGTTAAGGCTGTTACAATCAGCCTGAGGAAACACTGCCAAACAGAGATATTGCTGCATTTCTTCTGCCTCCATTTGTGGAGGAGAATGAAGAAAGAGGAAGGTCTGTGTTTACTGAGGGAAAAATAGCTGCACGGAGCCACAAACTTCATCTGGAAAAATGAATCTCCTCAAACTCAGACAGGAGTTCTGAGCTGCTTCTGCTTAGTTGCAAAGAAGGGACCTTAGAGGGAGAATGTACGTGAGTATTTAACTTAAATACGTGAATACTCAAGAATGTGAGTTCACAGTATTAGAAGGAATGTTCTGTATTTTCAGGGCGTGTTGAGGTCTGACAGGTGAGTCAGCTTTGCAGCTGTTGACAGCTAAATCCCTGTAGAGAAGCTCCGAAGACAAAAGCACCGTGATATAAAAACTCTCAGTGTATTTTCTTTACGCTTTTTATCTGCATTCTGTGGTGAAAATCTAAAATGTTTCACGGTGAACTTTAGTCTTGTTGTATAGTAGTGTATACTTTCAAATGTATTATGTTTTAAGAAAACAATCTCTACAAATGCCTTCAGACTGATCGTTGTATTCCAGTATGATGAAGTAAACTACTTTGGAACCTTATCACCTTGCTTCTTTATAGAGTATGTACATGTATATTCCTAGAGGAATATGACATAAACTAATGACACGTGTGAACTTCAGTGATAAAGCCAACAGTGGGTGTGGGTCAACGTGCTATAACAGGCTGGTCTATTATAATCAGGGTCACTTCACATCAGCTCATCAAATTAAATTACAAGTTGCGGTACTAGAACCAGCAGGCTGGTGCATTGGAGGAATGCTACACACATGTGAAAGCCAACAGAAAACATCCAAACTACTACCAGTGACACGGTAAATGATAAAAACCACGAATCAACCGGGGAACTCCCACCGCACCAGCTTCTCCCGTGACTGGGGGCCAACAACAGCCGCAGCATTAAAAACCATAAAGTGGTAAATTAACATTATGCTTAACATACTAAACTACAGGAAGTTACACAATATAAAATGAACATTATACAAAAAAAAAAGCCACTACTCCTGGACTGTTATGACCCTTTGCAAAAGAAACAAAAGAAAGGCTGACATACACATACTTTGAACAAAACAACGTTCCAGTAATGAAGCAAGTCATAATGCAGCGTAATGTCCAGACTGCGTACGACAAATTTCGCGAAACCAGATGATGAACTGATTTGTGCACTTTTTTTTTTTTTTTTTCCCACCTTCAGGCTGAGCTTAAGGCTTGTCTACATTTTCTCATATAACCTGTTCCAGTTCTGTGGACACACATGGATACTGGCCAACACCATAGCCAGGTTCCTCACGTTTGGTCAAGGTGAGCTTTGTCTCAACAGAACGAGACCTGCTCGCTAAACCGGGATGGGTTTTAAAGGGATAGTTTCCATTCACTCATTATCTGCTCACCACTAGGCCGATGGAGGGGTTGGGGGACGTGTTTGACTTTGAAACCCCTTTGGAGTGTCACGGCTCAACAGCGTTGCAGCCAAATGCAATACAATCATAGTAAATGGTGACCACATCTTATGTTTAAAAAAAAAAACTACAGTGGTGTCATCCAAGTGTCTGTAAGCCCTGACTCAATAGAAAAGTTGCGATAGCTGTAGTTACTGCAGTAACTAGGAGGATATCAGAAGACATTAAGGTTAAAACACGGTGTAAATGACTATTTGGATTGGAATTTGAATGTCAGGGCTTACGGACACTTGGATAACACCACAGGAGAAGTATGGAGGCAGTACTTTACTTCATTGTATTGGATTTGGCTGGAATGCTTTTCACCCCTGGAACTCCAAAAATGTTTCGTGGACTCAAGCACGTCACTTACCGCTCCATTAGCAAAGTGGTGAGTAGAGGGAGAGCAGGGATAACTGTCATTACAGGGAATTTGCTGGAATGATCAAATCTGTTTTTTTTAAACTTTACAGATGCTTTAGCAGACACTTTCTACTCGGTTGGCTTCGTGATGAGTCTGTGCCAGCTGCTCTCCACCCTCGAGCTTTTCCACATCGCAGATGGGATTGAGAAAGCCAGACTCTTTCCCCGTTTCATCCACGTGTGTCCCCGCAGCTCATCCATGGTGGAAAGTCATTATCAATGGTGTTAAAAAAAAAAAATGTACTTGAAAAGAGTTGTGCTCCCTCTTTGCTGTTTCAGGTAACGGAGAAGAACCTTGTGCTGATCCTGGTCATCACGCTGGAGGAGATCCAGAGTAAACTGGTCGTGTGTGTCCAGTTCCTGCTGTGGAACAGTTTGGACCTCTTACGGTAGGAGGATCACATCTTGTTCCTGTTTTTCGCTTCATCCATTCTGCCTGTGCTTTTTATAAAAGGTGGAAAACTGGCACTGTCAAGAATGCAGTGACACCAGCTGCTACTTTTTACTTTCCAGCAAAGATGGATTATGTCATGTGGGATGTGAAATTAGGGTCCCAGCTAGTGAAAATATTTGAGAAATGAATTGAGTATCTTACTATAAAATGTATTGAGTACATTTAATTTCACTTTTGGACATGCCATTGCATTTTGCAGGGCTGCAGCATTTCCAAATAGCTCCGTCTTTGGTCTCCACCAACTCCTGGGAAATATACAGTATATTTAGTGGTTAAATGCTCTACAGTGTTTACCAGCTGCTCTCTAACAGTCTGCAAAACTTCTCAGGCATTTTCTTATCAATTAAAGGTCCAGTGTGTAAGATTGAGGTGAAAGGGATCTATTGGCAGGAATTTAATGAAGGATAATCCTCATGATGTTTTCACTAGTTAGTTTCATATAAATTGTAGTTTTCTCTACACAAGAAAAGGCCCTTTATATTTAAATACTTGATATTTACATCGAGTGGACCCTCTCTACGGAGGCCGCCATGTTTTTTACATTAGTCCAGACTGGACAAACTAAATACCTTTTGGGTGTTAATGACAACTGAAGCTACCACAGGTTCATGTTTGGAAGGAGAGGGTGAGGGGTGTTCAGCTGCAACATGCAATTCCAACACTAGATATCACAAAATTCTACACACTGTACCTTTAAGCCATTGAGGGTAAAACTGCCCCTGTTTGTTAAAAGTCTGACAGAATCATTGTAAATAAACTGGTTGCACACATCATGTAGAATGTGCAGCGAGAAGAGTTGAATTGAAATAAAGCGTGAAGATTCGTCAAGAGTCAAATGTAAAAACTGGAGTCGTGCATCTTTTCTTACTGACAGTTACTATACAGAATAATACTATGGCCTGTCATAACCTTAGTCAACATTTTGATGTGTCCTCTTTGACGACAGATACCAACATGAGCTGCTGCGAGTCATGGATAAACGCTCAGTCGCCATGCTGTGGACTCGCTACACACTCTGGATCCCCCTGTACATCCTGTCGGTCGCTACAGAAGGTGACGCGATCTGTTTCGCCGTCAATCTGGGGAAACATCGATACATTCAGCCGCACAAATTCTCAACAACACAAGCTTTACTTCATTTGAGTGCGTCACAGACTGGTGTTGAGCAAGAAAAAGTGGTGTGCATACAGGAAATGAATTGGCAAGCGCAGAGCTGATGATAAAATGCCAGGAAGTGTGTGAGGAAAGCTCCTTCTAGTTGAGTGTGTGTGTGAGAGAACACTGCTGTTCGCTGCAAACAAACACAATCCAGTGACAGTCAAGACAAACAGACAACGAGCCATCACGGGCTGTAGGCCAACACTTAGATAATCACAATCGAAAAGTCCTTATGGGTCTTCAGGACATGACAGAGCACTATGTCGGATTAAAAACTCATTGTTTTACCCTCTTCAGGTGTCATCATCTACCAGGCACTGCCGTACCTTGAGCCGACGACACTAAACTCAAACATTCACCACCCCTTCCTCCTGCTGCTGTACCTGCCTGTTCTCACTCTTGGTAAGATTACTTAGCCTGCGTAAAGAATGCACTGCGTTAAAGAAACATGGACTGCAGGGGTGTGGCCCGGCATGAAATGAATGCATAATAACTGAGCAATGGATTTTAACCCAACCAGACAGGATTTTAAAAGAAGCAACCTCATTATCATGCAAAATATCACAACGGGATCAGTTGTGCAGACAGTAGATACACATGGGATAGATTCTGTGGGCTCTCTAACCAAATAGTTGTTTTACATGAAGCAAACCAAGTGAATGAGTTGTAAACCTAAATTAGTTTGGTTTCCATCAAACTAAATAGTTATGTTTCCCAATCCTAACCAGTTTGTTTGTTGCCTCAACCTAACCAAGCAGTTTGGCTGTCTATACCCAAGTCGTTTTGTTGCCAAACCTTTTTGAAACTTTAACCAAACCAAGTAGTTTTATTGCCTAAACTTAAGTATAACATTGTTTTTGCCTCAGGGGTACCTGGGCCAGTAACAAACCTGCTGCGCAACCTAGAACAGCAAAAGGTCCTCTAAACACTTTTGGCCTTATAGTGACATACTTAGATATTGCACTAACATTAACATGCACAGTACGATGAAATTGGTTTTAATAAAAACCTCAAGAAACAAAGTAAAAATAATAAAATACACCTAACCCATTCTAAAACATTTAACTTCTTTTAGCGATGAACTATTCCATTATGAACTGCTTACATCTTATGCATTTCTTTTAAATGCTGCACATTCATTGTTAACCCTTAACACCTAAAGCTCACCCAGTAGTTTTGCTGCCTAAACCTAACTAATTACGGGGAGGATGGATACATTCTTGTTTGACAAAAAAAATAGTCCCAACGCATAAGACACCCACACTTGTGGTCATCAGTTAATCCAACTCTTTGGATGAAAAATGAGTCACTTGTTGCTTATGCGTCTAAACTTGTAGGACTGAAGACGAGTAACCTACCATCTCGCACTAAGTCTTATCAGCTGAAGTGGTATTGTGTTTGCAGCTGAGTTTATACTTCATAAATACATTTGCAAGGACAGTTCTGTAGTGGCCCGTCTTTTTAAAGCTGGTAGATCTGTGCCATAAACACGGCATTACTGTAGAGACACTGTGTTTTTGCCAACTTTGTGACAGCAGTGTTTTCTTTTTCCAGGAGCCTGCGTATCAGTCTGGCAGCTGCTGAAGGAAAGAAAACACCACCTGGAGAAATGGAATAATAAGATGAAACGGAGATGACGCAGAGAAGAACCGAAAGGCTAGAGAAAAAATTCAGACTCCCAGAAAGTTCAGAGGATAATGAGGGCTTGAAAAATTAAAGCCAGTTACTTTTTCTTTTTTAAATCAGTGAGTTTGATTTGTTACAAATTGTTAAAAGACGTAGAAGCCACCAAATGAAATATTTTCAGTTACACTTTTAATAGAAATTTTTGACAGAGCACATTCCTCTTGACATTGTTCTCATATGAATATGTATACATGCCCATCAAGCTGCGGGAGGAGAGATTCAGTCTTGGCGTCGGAGCTCCCGTAGAATATCGGGGCTCCTCTGGACTACCAGCCGTACGCTCTGGTCCACACAGTTTTCTTCTTGAACTCAGCGGAGGACTTCAGGGCCAACAGGGCGGCTGGAACCACAACACAAGGACCATGTGATAAACCACTCTTGGAATCAAACAATGACTTTTTCTGTCCCTGCCAACAACGGGTTGAATGTATGATGCAACTTTAACAGGAAGGGAAGTATCAAGTTCTCCCTAGATTTTTGCATCGTTTCATAACTGTGCTTAATGTCAGTGTTTCCCCCCTTGTGGAGCTTTTCATTGTGTTTCCATTCCTCATCACGACCCACTGTGTATCCTGAAGGATTAACAAACACGTTGCCTGCATTTGTTTTATGTCAATCGGTTATTGTTAGTTTGAGTCAACAATGCATTAGACATGTTTTCTTCAGTTAAAACTTGATTTTCTTTTTCTTCTTGTACAGTTACCACTGTTTAAACATAAGATGCAATGTGAGATTTCTGCAGATGCTGAATAAGACTTTCCAACAGTAGTTAGTCCCTTCGTGCATTTTTCACACTTTAATATCATAAATGATTTGTTTGTGTATGAATATTTTCATCAATTTCTTCTTTGACAAAATGAACATTACTGTGTGAATGCATCCCGGGCTGCGTGACGGACCCCCCCCAAGGGTTTCACAATTAATCTAAAATATTTTTAAGCCTCTCAGAGCCCATACGTTGATTTGTTTGCGGCCACAATATCAACACTGAAAACAAAATACTGATCATTGATAGTTTTTTGCGACTTTGCATCACGTGGAGTAACAGCGCCTTGCCAAGTCCCTGCTGTCCATTACAAATGAGATCCCATGAGCACGTGGGCTTATTACTAAGGATGAATGGTACAGACCTACTGTTAATGTGGCTCAACATTTAAGTAGAGTGCTGCACCATTAATTCCACTGCTCCTTGTAAGCGGTGTGCGCTGTCTGTGTTTGAGCTGTTAACATCTGGATTTCTCACCTTTGGCTGTGAAAATGGTCTCAGTCGACAGACTCTGGTCAGGACATTCTGTGATGCTGAGAAGCCAGTCTATGAACTGAGACACACACAAACATGTCACACTCTTGTCAAACACGGAAAAACTGAAACAATACTTATTAAGCCATCTGATCAGCCACAACCCCGTGTGCCTCTCCATCCTCCAGGTAGGGCCCTGAACTCCAGACTGAGACTCCAGACTTGCTCTTTGTCAACTGAAGCAGAAACACTAACCTTTTGTGTCTGGCTGCTCCAAGGCTCTTTGTCCAGAAGCAGAGCCAAGCTGTGGGACACTCCCAGCAGGCACTGTGGCAGGGCGCGGTCAGTGTGCGACTCCTGCCCGTACAGGCTATGGCGCAGGGCGCGGGGCTTGCAGCCCGGTTGCCACGGGAACCACTGGGCCCTGATGCCGAGCAGGAGGGGCATGAAGTGGTCACCCCAGGAAACTACAGCCGCAGCAAAGACCTGGAACAGGAAGTCTGTGGCCTGCGGAAAAATAACACCTGATGAATCTAAGTCCAATATTCACTCTTTTTATTTTAGCTACTAAATTAGTTTAGAAAACAAATTCATTTCATGATACTGTTTCATGATGAATCGTATAGGTTGTGAAATTAAACGCATTGCATCACAATATGAATTATTCTGTAGACACACAAACACGCTGACGTTTTTCACCTGAGCGGAGCTTAACTCACAGCTACATGCTGTAACCCGTAGTTCCTAACATACAGTCATCTGTGGCATGCGGCCACAACACGCTTACGGCTCCAGAAACATCCCACAATGCAGTTTGTCAGCATGGCTCGGAAACATACCATTCTGGTGTCTCCGCATGCGACAGAGGTGACACCATAGGCAACATTTCGGATGTGGCCCATCAACTCCAGGAGCCACTCCATTCGTCTGGTGACGCCTGTGACGAAGAAATCAATTTTGACGTGCAAACTCGAGGACGGATGATAAAACGGAGCAATACCACAGATATAACATACTGCATGTACAGAAAAACTCAAATATCAAATGATGACCAACAAAATCAATCACCCAAACCAGTGTGTGGTATTGGGTGCCCCCTAATGTCCTCTTTTAACACTTGAAAGTATTTTTTTATGACTTTTAATATGAGCACAGAAGTATCATATCAGTTATGGATGTGTTTCCACTTTTCTCATACACTGCAGTAGAAACTTCCCAGCTCGACAGGTCCTGACCTGTGTTGGAGCCAGTGGCCAGGCGACACTGATAGAACATTTGTAGGAGGAGCCAGCCGACTCTGCGGCTCGGCCAACCGCGAAGCACGCCGGCGATGATGTCGTTGAGACCCAGCAGGGGAACTCTGCCTTGGGAAGTCAGGTAAGCCAGGACGAAGCACGTTTTCTCCATCTGACTCTACAGAAAGACCTCTGACATGTAAATATAGCTGATCTAAAAACAGAAGCTGCCACTGCATTGGTAATATAAAGAGTTACATATATATAATGTGTTCCTTTTACTCCAAGGCAAATCCGCCATCATAAGCTGAGCTCACATTAAAGAGAATAGGAGAAGTCTGGAGAAAGCATCATACTGTACCTCTGTGACTCGAGCAATTCGATCAATTTCTGTATCAGACAGCTCCGACAGACATTTGGCCACTCCCATGTACAAATCCACTTCATCGTCCTAAAACGAATGAATTTTGCATTACAAGAAAATAGTGTATTGCAATAAAAGAGATCCCTGTCATGGCCTGGTACGACCACAGCAAACATCTGGAATTCCAGTTTCTTCCCACGGGCCATCAGACTATTGAATAAAACTTTGAACTCTGCCCCCACCCCCTCACCCCACTGACACAACTTGACTACAAACATGTGTATTAATCAATGTGCAGTAACCACCACAATAATCTGTACACTCTGCACTTTAAACTAACATATCTACCCCTACTCTGCATTTTCGGACATTTTTATGACATTTTGTAAAGTATTACTTGCACTATTTTCTATTTCTATATATTTCTTCTTTCTTTCAGTACTATTTGATACTATTTGTATGCTGGGAGATTGAATCTTGAATCTTAAATGTAGGGTAAGTATGCTAGGTATGGTAGGACAGCCATCGAATATAATAATCTGAATATAAGAAGGAGAAAAAGCCTGTTTCTGTGGTGCTAACAGGACTAATAACTCATTTCCTTTCATTTGTAACCGTTTCACACCTCAATAATATTTAGGACAATTATGACACAGCTTTCTGGGATATCACACAAAAACATTAAACATGGCAATTGATTATTTCCCCCCGCAAACTATATTCTATGACAAAGGACAACGTAAAGACAAAGTCACCATCGCTTGAGGTCGACTCACATCATCTGATCAGAACCTGTCAGTCGATGAGTGACCACTGAAAGCAGTTGAAGTGTGTGGACAGGTCAGGTTGAGGTACAGTTGACATACTCAAAGTGTCAACCCTGATTTTATACCTGGATTTCATTGGGCAGGAGGGTGAAGATCTTCTCGGCTGTGGAGCAGAGGATTGCCCAGCAGTTACTGGGGGGGTTCGGGAGGGCCATGGCCTGAGCCAGACCCTGCAGGAGAGAGCGGCACAGCGACAGACGCTGGGGTCGAAGGTCCGCCTGGAACTGCTGCAGGCCCAGAGTCTCCAAGTACACCTGGAGTTTGTCCTCTGCGATGTGCTTCATCCACATGCCCAGGGTCTCAAACAGGCGAGCCCGGGTCTGGTGCTGCAGGAGGAGAACAGGCTGTAAAGCTCAAAGCCGAGAGCATCTCTGGTATCATCAGAATGTTGAAATCAAAAGAATTGAAAGCTGGAATCAAATGTTTGGTCAGATTTGTTATCTTGTATTAAAAATTAGCTGCATACTTCATATGTAGCGACAAACTTTGTGTGGACATTTTCCAGAGTTCATGTCTAAAAACAGCTTTTATGTTTTGTTAATACTGAGGTGGAACTTACACTGAGACTGTGCACAAGCGGCGGTGACAGCCAGGAGCCCAGAAAGAGAGATGCGCTCTGGGAAGACTGAGCTTGACACGCTGCCAGCACCACACACTGATGCTGTACATCCTCTCCTGTGGAAACGCCACACATCTAAACACGCTGCTTTGACTCTGCAGAAATATATGAATCAGTGAGAACTCTTACCGAAGCTGAGCCTCATCAGGGGAGACAGCACAGCGCTCCAGTTAATGGGTGGGTACTGGAAACTGGCCCCAACTGATGCCAGCGAGGTGAGAGCCGTCCTCACCAGAGCCGGAGGAGAGAACTCTGGACCTGGAAACAGGAAGAGAGCCTCAGAAAGTCAAAACATGCAAATTGCTTTGAATTACAGAGATACCGTGTACTTCAGCATATAGTTTGCGTAGATGATACTCTATTTATTTTCAAACCTCTCTTTCCAGCCTCTGAGACGAAGTCAATGATGGATCTGATGATGCTTTTCTCTGGGAGGTAACTGAAGTCCAGAGGGACTGAAAAAAGAAGAAAAGAAGCGTATAAAACACAACACAGCAAACGGCATCTTCCTATAGACAGTCACTGGGTGCTGTTTATAGTGGCGGAGATTCTGTTCGTATCATGAATGCTGCACCGACCTGCTGTGTGACTGTGGCTGGTGGACATGTGGGCCAAATGCAAATGACCCACCAGGCAGGCGCTGTTGGACTGTAGACCGATGGCTCCTGAGAACGTTATGATCTGTAAAACAAGAAGACTCAATAAAAAACATGACGCCAGAAAGTGGATTGAACATCGCGGATCGTGATGATGGATCCTACATTATGATTACAGCTAAACTGCTTAGATATACAAGATAAGCTACTCACACATACTACCATTGCTGGCCATAGCTCTCTGATTTCTGTCAGACATTTCCCCCATGTATAAATATTCATACACCTCTTTATTTGACTTAGACATTGTCTTTTATTATGAATGAGTAAATATCGTAATTTTGTCCATATGCTCTGCTACTCAGGGCATCTATTGAACTAGGGTCTGTCAGATATGAGAGGGATCCCTAACATGTGGCTCTCTGTGAAAGGGATCTATTGGCAGATACTTAATAAAAAATAATACTAGTGATGTTTTCACTAGTGTGTTTCTTCTAAATTGTACAAATAATTGTTTTCTTTACCCTAGAATGGGCCCTTTATATTGAAATACTTTATATTTACATTGGGAGAGGATCCCCTATGGAGGCCGCCATGTTTTTTTAAGTGGTCCAAAGTGGACAAACCAAACACCTTTTGAGTTCTTATAACAACTGACGGCCTCCAGAGGTTCACTTCTTATGTTTGGAAGCGTAGGATGAGGTGAGGAGTATTCAGCTGTAACATGCAACTTCACCACTAGATCTCACTGAATCCTACACACTGAAATTTAAATAGTTTTTTTATTTTTGCAATTTTTCTTACTCTTGCTGTTGAGGGCAGAGGATGTCACATCTTTTTAAGCCCTATTATTAGGCAAATTGTGATTTGTAAATATGAGCTATACA